ATTTTGTAGTGCCTCCCACTTAAACTCAGAGTGATTTACTGCACCAGAGAATACAGGGAGGATGTTTATAACAGTGATTGAAACAAGTCCGGCCACCAACTGCAGCTGTGGTCCAGGGCAGTACACTTAGGGGATCTGAAGAAAAGAGAGTTCTTCTTTCACTCTGCTTGATTATATGACTTGAGTTCTGGCTCCCTGATTCTTATTTTTATTTTTTTTTAAAATCTGTGCTCTGTCTTTCTATTGCTGTTTCTTGTCCATAACATTCAAATACCTCCTTCTCAATGGGACAGTGAGTAGGACACTTGGAGAATTTTCACGTCCCTTTTTTCTTCAGTCCTCCTAAAGAGGAATTCTCAATGAGTCCCATCGTAACACTGTGTAGGATGTCTGCTTTAACATCTTTGGGGCTCCTAGTCTTTTTATCTTTGCTGATAAAACAAAGATTGTATTATTAGCCATTGATCATAGAAGTCCAATTTCTACTATCAGTCAAAAGGCACTAGCCTGGGTTTATGTATTATATATAGTCACCTGTAATCTTAAATCACCTTAAATCTGCATTTAAGTAAATTGTTTTGAGAAAGGTTTCAAAGATAGAAACTCCAAGAATATGTGATCAAAGTATTCTTGATGTTCCAATATCTTTGTTCTGTTTTGTACGAGCGCTAATTACAGTGGTGGGTTTAAATGAGCTAGTATGTGTAGCAGCATTCCCGAGTCTCGTTTCTCATCTTTCATTTCCTATTAAGTGATAAACTGACCAATAAATCTTATCTCTTCAGAGATAGGGCTTCATTATAGAAAAACAAAACAGCAGTGCAGCAACTTTTAGGCATGAGGCAGTTTCCTTTAGGAATGCTATTTTGGTAGATTGATGTTTCTAGGGAAAACCCTGGAGTTTTCCTTAACTGAACAAATTTTCCTTTGACACTGGGTATTTATTCTTAAGGAATAATTACAAAATATAGGTCACAGGTTGTAACTTTAGAGCTGAACACTAGTTAAATGAATTGGGAAACTGATATGTTTTATGATACACCATCAAAAAAGTCTGATTTAAAGATCTGAAATCTATGTACCTAGATTACGTTTTCCTCCATCTCTCCCCTCCTTTGTGAGGGAGGAAGTTATTTGCACCCAGTTATTTGCCTGAGTCCTGCAGGTTTTTCTGTAACCAGCTGTAGTCTCATGTTTTCTGCTTCTTGTGTAACTGTATCTGTACTTTTCTTCTGACTGGCACCACTTTTCTTAGCTGCTCCCCTGTTCAAAAAAGGCTTTTTTAAACGACTCTTGCCTTTGTGAGGCTTAGTTTGTCTTTCTGTTTTCTGTAAGAAACACCTCTTTGCCTGTATCTACAGAAACAGGACAATCACTGAATTAAAAAAAAAAATCTGCTACAGAAATTTGATCAATCCTATTTGATTCTATTTTCCAAAGTTTCTACTCTAGTCTGTTGCTGTTTTGGTTGTTGGCAGAGCATCACAACATGCATAAGTCTGAGAAGCAATGTTGTCTCCAGCACTGAACTTTCACAGTAGTGTGATGGTTTGGATCTGGCACTTTTTGATTTGAGCCCTTTCTAACTAGCCTGGAAATAACTTCATCGGAATACAGAAGGATGAGAGGAACAGGGAGGCAAAATGAAAAAAGAAAAAAAACCCAACCAAACAAATGTAAACCTAAAAAAACTCTGTTCTTTTTTCCATTAAGCCTGTCTTTCCAAAATGAGAACGAACAAGAGATATTCCACAGTAGCAAGACAATGGTAATTATCTAAATGAAATCCTTGCAATTTAGCTTTATGAAGAGAGTGAAGCTAAAACGAACTGCTAAGACTACAGCTATAAAGTATGGCTTTATGCAAAAACTGTTCAGAGTTTGGAGTAGTGAGCACCACTTGTTTCTTAATCAGGGCTACATCAGCCCCCTGTTTCCCAAGAAATTTGTTAGTTAGGTGAGGTTTGGCGACGTGCTGAGCAGTCCTCAGTTCTTTCACTAAATCACCTCAGAGCTACCCTACGCTTCTTGTTGGTGAAGTAATCTGTGCATCTCTGTATTTTGCAGCTAAGGTATCTAGGGGCTAATTTAAGGATTTAATCCTACTGAAAAGAGCACGAAGAGATGGTTTTAGTGCTCTACCTCTCTGTTTTACAGCTAGGTATCTATGGACCGCTTAAAAGTATGGATGAAGAGAAGGGTCTTGTAGCCCTCGTGGTACATAAGGCTGAAGTTGTGCTATAGAGAGAGACAGTTATCCCTAGAGTTGCCACAGGCTGGCTGCTGCGGCTTGAGACCAGTCCTCAGCCTGGAAATCTGTCAGCATGCCCTTGACCACAGAGTTCAGAGCCTGATGCAACAGCATGCTTGAGTGTCTTATCCCTGCCTTGTTTCATGCAGGGCATGGAAATGGGATGGTAGGCGCGCGTGTGTGAATATGAATATGAATATGTGCAGGTGACCAAACACAACTAGCAATCCTGGTATGTGTGTTTGATTACATTTACTGAACATTTTCCTTCTCTGTATGCCTAGATAAGTAAAATAAAAACTACTGGTGTTATGTAGACATTCTGGGGTCCAGGAAGGGTTTCTGTGGATAAGACTTGGCCTTTCTTTATATTTTTGATTGAGTAATCAAGATTTAAATTCTTTTATAATTTTTTTATATTATTTGTTCACAGTTGCCTACAGTTATTGTTGAATTACCTTCTTTAACCAAACGTTGATGATTACCCTGGCTGCTTTATACAGACTACTCAACTTGTTTTTAAAAACACGTCACTGGCTTTAGGGAATTTACTTAAAAGTTAACAAAGAACCATTGAGGCCCCTCTGGCTTTGGAAGCCTAGAAAAGGTTTTAGTAGGCTTCATAGTTTAAAAAACACAGCCTCTCCATTGGGAAGTGTGGAGACAACTTTGACCTGCCAGGGGTTGCATGGCACAGTGAAAAATTACTAACAACATAATATGTAATTTTCCAAAAAGGATGAGAAAAATTGTCTGTCCTTGATCATGTGTTTAGTGAGTTGATGTATTCCACACCCCTGCACATTCACAATGCAACAGGTACTAAGGGATGCCAATGGTTTGGGGCAGCTTTCATGCCGGGCTGCACTGCAGGACGCAGATGCTTGCCGTCTGTATGTCCGCGTGGTCTCAGGAAGGTGAGGGTTTAACCCAGTTCCTCTCCTCCTGCTTTTTCATGCTGCAGTCTCATCAAGAGTTCAGTTTTCGATGCCACCACTGGGTTCCAAACTGAATCCAGAAATATTTAACAGGCGGTTTGCAAATAGAAGGATGTGGGCTGTATTCAGGTTTATTGGTCTGATTTTACTAGCGTTTTCTTCCATTTGTATCCAGAAAGTTTCGTGTTGCACCTCTTGTTAAACTGCTTAAAAACTCA